CCGACCCCAACTTCCTTCCTAAGCTCCGTGTGACTTCTTCCTCTTCCCAAAGATGAAAATTCAGCTAAAGGGAAGGAGATTTGAGACGATAGAAGAGATTCAGACAGAATCGCAGATGGTGCTTGACAGGCTGACAAAGAAAGATTTCCAGGGATGCTTCCAGGCTTGGCAGCGGCGCTGGGATCGTTGTGTTCACTCCCAGGGGAACTACTTCGAGGGTGATGGATGAATTTAATACCTGAGATAAGTGTACGGGTTTTTATAGGTGCAGTCTGGAAACTTTCCGATCGCACCTCGTATGTTGGGTCTTTATTTGACGATATTTTATCAAGTAATAAGTATAACGTCAAATGGAAACTATCAACAATACGATGAAAAACAATTGGGAAACGATGTGTATAAGAACGACCGTGACCAATTTTACTGCAGAGTATAGTAATCGGGACGAATCTATATACTATTAACATTACTTTCCAGAGGAAGTACTTTGTAAATCGCTGTCTCAGTGTCCATGTTGGTAACGTCTTTGGTTTACGTAGTATCCTCAAACTAGTGACGTAGGCGAAACGTAGAGTTTGGTCCGGGTACCGTACAGCACTCCCAGGAAACAACGACGTATCTCTGAGCCGTGATACAAACCAGGGACCTCGCGAGTCCGAAGGAAAAGTGTTGGCCACTGCAACGCGACTTGTGATAGTGAGTTCTGTTTTTCGCTGGAGCTCCTCCAACAGGATGAGTCGTCAACCGTACGTCATGGGTCGACGAATATTTGCCAGAATGAAGAATTTAGCGTCCTTTCTGAGAGGGAAAAGGGTCTTATGTCACAGATCCTAATGCTTTCAGATTTTGCGATGCTGACATGCTGGTGTTTTACATTTGAAAAAACAATCATTATATTTAACGAAAAGCCTATTCGAGACAAAAGTTCAGAACCCTGCGTATGTGTCGCTAGTGTCGCTCCCGCCTCGCATGACCACACGGCCGCCATATGAATTTTTTCGAAAGAAAAAAAACGTAAGGTTCAAATGGGGAGTAGCCTCTAGTGGCACGACGTTGATACAAAAAAAAACCCACGAAAATACGTCAAATGATTGAAAAGTTACTTCGGCATAAACCCAAACGTGATAAAACAGAACAAGTATGAAACGAGAAACATGCCAACTCAAAAGAGTGAATTATTTATTCATCACCATAACCTTATTCTTTACGTATTTTACTTTTTCCTCGATTGCTTATTTAAAGTTGTTGTAAATATTAGTATTTCATAGCTTTAAAAGCTTTGTTTTTCTGTACTTTTCACGTGAATTATAAAACTGGCCATTAATACCGTTTGCATTTTTATGAACGGTAAGTAACGACCCACGGTGGTCTAGCGGTTAGAACGCTGGCCTTGTAATCCTGGGGTCTCGGGTTCGATTCCCGGCGGTGCCCGAATTTATAACTTGTGTTGGGCAAAGCCGTGGTCTAGGCAACACGGAGTTTTCCTCCGGGGGGCTTCCCCGGTTTCTCCGTGGCATCCCAACAATTACTCCATTCACACACAGAAGAAGGCAATGGCAAACCACTTCTGGATCATCTGCCAAGAACGTATATGAACAGGTCCCAGTCCGAGAAAAGGATGGAAGGATCCTGTTCATATGGACCTGTCGTCAGACAGAACACTATTAAAAAAAAATAAAAGTAACCAACTACCTTCGAGAGCCTTCGCACGCACCAGGTCAAAATATCCTCTACGTTTCATGGTATCCGAAGGTTCACTGCCGTGTTCACAAGAGCCAGTTCAATCCAGTCTGCACCTTCTCACTCTACATCTCTCAAAACACGTATTACCACTAACTTTTCGTAGAACCATTAAACATAAAAAAAAAACATTTTCTGGTGATGGAAAAGTTCATTGTGGTTTTAGATCGTACGGTGGGCGTGAGATAAAAACGGCTAAGAACTAACGCCTTAAGCTATCGGTATCTTTAGTTGTAGCTTTATGTAAAAAGCAACAAACTGTTCAGAATGTTGGTACATTTGTTTGGTAGAACGTTCCAAAACCTTCGGTCGTAAACCTAATTTTATGGGCGGTTTAACGAGGGTATATCAGGCCCGAAAATGTAGAACAGCCACATCTGATCCTTCTATAATTTCAGTGTATTCAAATTATTTAATTCCTGCTTCATTTAGTGACGCTGTCAGCAAGCCGGACACTACGGTGTCTGCTACAGGTTTTACAAACAAAATTCTGTACCTATTTTACGTCTCGTAAAAACATTTTCTTAACGCGGTCTCAATTGCCCTGAATTTCACGTTTTAGACTCGAAATTATTAACGTTTCATTTATAAAAATAATATTTCTGATTACCTTGATCACCCAAAATAAGCGAGGGGCCCCTAATTGCATTTGGCGACCTTGGTTTTCATTCAATATCATGGCACGCGTCCACAACTGACCAACAACATGGCTACTATTACCGGTGATCTCACGTTGGGCTTCAGCGAGGACGTTCATTAACAAACTTTCGAAAAAAATACACTCCAAGAGAAATCGAAATTGGCACAACCGAATGAAAAAGTTTTTTAAAGGTTTTACACGCATTAATTAGATACTTTACATTTTTGTATATCCGAAAAATATAAGTCACTAAATATCCACCAGAATGAAGTAAATTCTGGTTACGAACTATATGTTACGCAAGTTATGTAAATTATAAGTAATTATATATTATGAACGGTTTCTAGAAAATAGACAATGACATGAATATGGCTGTCTCCTGAGATACCGCGCCGTGCAGTGATAGGTATTTACCGACGTTTCAGATATGCTTGCACCCTCAATCACTAGACCGATGAGTATTGACTGAGGTAGAAAACGCCTCTGAAACGTCATTAAATTACCATATTACAACACCCCAGAAGACAGTAATCTTCATACTCGATGCCGTGAGAACCTTAAATCACACCAAGACAATAATACAATCATCTTAAGGAAATTGAATGGGAATGACACCGCGATTAAGTTCCCTTAACAACAGATTATGTAACGGATGGTAATTAAATCGTAGACAAAACAACGTTCCGAAAAAATACACCAGCACCTAATCTGGAATATGTCCAAAGCTGATCTACGCTGGTATGACAAGACTTCACCAGTCCAGTCAATTTATTTGCAGTGAAACGAATGTTTGAACCTGATTCCCTAGTGCCAGATCAGACGCAAATCCCCAGCTCCCCAACAGATGACATAAACTAAGTTTTAAATGAAAAATCTGTCCCGCTACACGCCACGTATGTCGCTTGGGGGGGAGAGGAGGTATGGCTTCTACTCATTCTTGACGACGGCACTAGATGGGGGTGAGTGGTCAGCATCACGCCCCGGCCGGCTTTACCCTTGGGAAATGACCCCAGTACCAATTGGACAGGAGGCTGGTTGGGACCCAGAGCCCCGATCTGGACGCAAAGGCCAAAGGAAACATCCTCTGTCCCTGCCGGGGATCGAACCTCGGTCAAGTCCGTTGTCAGTCACCATACTGACTGGAACATTCTGTATTTATGTTGCTCTGGATTATGCTTCCAGACACGACCTCTGATCGGAGATGCATTAGCTCCCGATGACAGGACAGTAGAGAAATGATGATGCCCGGTTGAGAAAATTTGAAGTTTTTCGTGCGACAGGAAACTTGGCAAAGGCCAGATATATTATATTAATACAAACTAACAAAACCTAATTTTAAGATTACAAGCATTCTTTAAAGAAAAATCATAATTCTTTTTTAGCGGTAAGTTCATTTTATGTGACTCATAAGCTACGAAAATTGACTTTAATGCAGGATGTATAATTTAAAACGTTTTACTCAGGTGGTCCTATTTAAAAATAAATCATAATAAAACAAATTTTCTAGCATGTACCTGAACCGATACAACGTTGTATTAACTGAAAGTAGAACTAGTCTAATGAAACAATAAGAACAGTCTGGAGAACAATTCAAGATGCTTCAGTCATTCAACTAGCAAAGAACACGAAGATAATATATAAAGGTCACATGTAATGCTAGACTATGACACTATAGCTAAGAATAAACCAATTGCCCACAACATGCGATTAGTTCACATGACAATGAGAAAAGCTATCTCTCCCGAAGTCAATACATTAAAAGAGTATATACATAACACGTAAAGAAACAAAATTAATTGGCATTGAATATAAAATGGCAGAGGCAAATTATGTAACACATGATAATATAGATATATGACAGGAAAAACTGTCAAACACAACCTTACTCAAAGATTTCTGTCGTCTGGGTCGTTGCGCTGTGTAGTCTGGTCGATGTTTACCAACGTTTCAGAGGTCATACTACCTCCGTCATCAGGGCGATTCATACTACACAGCGCAACAACCCAGAAGACAGAAATCTTCATACTCACCGCTGTGAAAACCTCAAATCTTACATAACCTCACTCGTACGGGAAACATGTAAAGTACGGTCTTTAAATACTCTTAGCAGGGATGAGTTAAATATAACCTTTACACAGTCATAACTGGGGAAGACATGAAAACATGAACTTAAATTACTTTTAGCAGATAAATATATCAAACACAACCTTTAAGCACACTTCGCAAGGACGCGCGATACACTTATTCTCCACTGAAGAACTCCTACCACTTATCTTAACGATGATTTACAGTTCCAAACAATCTTAGACCCTGGCGAGAAAGAGACTGCGACGTCAAACAAGAAGGCAGAATTACACTAACTCTCTTGGCTGACCTTAGTCGCGAGAAAAGTACACATTTCGGAACATTGCACTTGAAATATTGCGAAAAAACAAGGCCTCGTTTCTGCATGATGACTTCCTTGCGCCCCACATGATAGGCAAAAATGCTACTCAAAACGACAAACTCATCAAAGACTGAACATTCTTCTCGACAATTCAGCGATTAAAAGATTCTTACATTTGTACTCCTTAACTTAAAAAGAGAAACTTGATTCAGAAAATAGTGAAGCTGTTAGCACCTTTAAAAGTGACGGTGGGTCGCGGAGGAAACTGGCGGCACCACCACTTGGATTCTGCGTACCGTTGACCAGTTCCAGAAGCGTTATCGACAGGCTGGTAGCGATACAACGGGCGGTGAACACTTGGATCAAACGCTTGATTTGCAAACACATCTCGTGGTTTGACGTCACTCGTCGCGGCTGTAGTTGCAGCTGTCTGGCGCTGCTGCAGAGGCTGCTGAGGTTTCAAGATAGAGAGGGGTTGCCTACGAGATCGTGTGGGGGAGGACGATGAGGGTCTGGGGCGTGACTCCCTGGAAGATGGCCTGGTTACTGGAGAGGCAGGTCTCAGTTCGGGCGAGGACAGCGATCTGCTATCGGGCCGGGTGTCAGGAAACCTGTGTGCCACCCAGTGACACCCCAAATAAGGGGCTATGTCCCTCAGCTCTCGGACATCCGGAGTCGACGTGAACATCTGTCCCATTAAAGACAATTGCGTCTCAAACTTCTCTCTTATTCGATGTACTTCACCGGTATGAAAATGCGTGAAGCCTTCGTCCTTTGAAAGGACCTCTTGAAGCTGAGGAGAAACGGTCGACGAACGCTGCAAAGACGCGGTCTTGCTTATCACGTTTATGTGAGGCATGAATCTGTCCTCGGCTCTGAACGGAATCCTAAGGACAGGAGATAACGGCCTTGCTTTCCGGATGCGACTTCGCCCCCTACAGCACGTCTCAAAGCGTCGCCTGAGCCATCGAACGTCGCCAACCTCCTGTCCTCTCACTACCACTCTATTAGTATCAGATACTCTTCTCGCCAAGAAGTCACGCACAAGATCTGGATCGCTGCGATGTCTTTTCAAAATAAACTGCCTCCTGAGCTTCCCATCTTCTCCAGCAGAATAGTGATAAAGGTCTTCGAGGCTCTCAAACTTGTCGCAGAGCCTTCTGACATCCCCGCGTTTTACCATCTGCAGATATGCCCGTAAATACTTTGTCGGATCGGGGGAAACACTCCTGGACCGCTGTCGGAAAAGACTCTCAGTACTACTGCTCCTGCAGCGAGTCCTGTATGGACTAACTCTGCCCTGACGACCATGCCGATAATCTCCGTCTTGACGCCGTGGCGGAGATGTGGACTCTTGTCTTTTCTGGGTCATCAGCGGCACTGTTGAGTACCTCAAACGACTCTGTTCCCCAAATAACTCCTTGAGATCAGCAAAGGACTGAGACGGTCGGAGCTTTGTGGGAGGAGGTTGGAATGACGGAGCTGCCATACTCTGCGATGTAGAAAATGCCCCTGGGGCACTTTTTGCACGACTGCTGGGTGTCAGAATGGGTAGTCTTGGAGTCCTGATATCACTAGCGCTTCGACAGACCCTGCCGAAAATTTTAGATTGAGCACCAGTTGTATCGCTGTCCGCCATTATTTGTTTCCTTTCAAAATATTCCACTTTTTGGAGTACATCCTCTCCACTGCTGCCCCGATGGATCACTGTCCTCGTGGACGTGTCAGAGCTAGCGCTCTCCGTTTCGCTTGCAGACGTTGTTTTCACTAATCTGGCCACAACACCGTTTTGAGTTTTCCTCTCGTCCCCAGCGTCAACTGCCTTACTGGTCGAGGGCTTAGAGTTCGCCCACTCCTCTACAACTTTCTGAACCTCATGTTGTCGACTCTGTGAACCATCGGAAGGGGTCAGCACAAGAAGAAAGTCGTTCTTTCTTGAGGAGGAAGCATCTTCTTCTGACATTTCCAGCGAGTAACACGTCCTTGGTGAAATCGTTTCAGAGAGCATGGGACTGGAGCTCAGACTCGAAGTCTTTCTCTGGTCTTTGGCTGCTGCGGCAGCAACTGCACCCCTTGTCTCCCGTCCTCTCACAACCGGCATTGAACCATTTCTCTCCTTTCTCGTGACACGATCCAGGACTTCTTGGCTCAAGGTCATTGACAAACGTTTCTTTTCGGTTTCTGACAGTGGATTTGCGCGATCTGGACAGTATCTGGACGCTTCATGTCTCAGTTTACTTCCATTTTTCTTCAAGTGCGGCAGGCAACTGATGGAGTCTGCCTTCATGCTCTCAGTGCGTCTCGTTTCTCTGCGACGAACTAGAGGCGAGTACAGCTGATCACGGGTCAGCAGAGAATTACAACGCACGTGAAGATTCTCCTCTTCTGCCCGAAATCTTCTAACTTCTCCGTTCTCTGGAGGTACCGGTATCTCGTAATCCTCCCGTCTCATCAGCTTATCGTGTTTCGCGTTCGGCATAGAGCTGTATATCTCACTCAGCTGAGACTTCAAGGCATTAACCTGGTCCACTGAGAGACTGCTCCACAGCCGGCTACCGATTTCTCTTGAGTATCTTCCTGGCGAGTGCCTGCTTAAGCTCCTTGACGTGCTGTGGATTCTGGTGTCCCCACCGACAGGTCTTCCCCTCTGTGAACTCGTTACTGAAGACAGACAACTTGCAAGGTTCATTACTGACGACCCACGCCACAGAGGCTTATAAACGTCTTTCTTGGCATCAAGTTCCTTTCTTCTTGTGGCTTCTAAATCAGACTCTTCAGTACTTAGTTTGCAAAAATGTTGCTTAAGATTCTCCACGGATTTCTCTCTACAACGAAGACCCCTGTCTCGTTCGCTTCTCCATCGCAAAGATTCAGCATCTTTAGACAAAAACAACAAATCCTTCTCCTTCTGATCCTCTTTAAGCGTCGTATACAGAACCTTCATTTCCGCTTCCGCTCTCTCCTTTGACCTCAACTGCTTCCAACGGTCATAGTCAATAACTTCCTCGCCCTTGAGACGCGGGCGGAGATCACCTGTCGATGTCGTTCGTTCCAATTGTCCAAGACGTTCGAGACTCGAGTAGAACTTATGAAGTTCCCGGAATCGCTCCGACTTCTTCGTGGAGTGTACCAGTTCCATAACATAGGACTGATATTCACTGTGATCAGAGACGTGGGATATATTCAAGGAATTTGTACTGTTTGCATGTATTTTCGTGAGTGTTCTCAACTCCTTCCTGCGGTCTTGTTTCTCATCCTCAAGGTCTCCTGCACTCCTGGCACGAATGCCTTTTTTCTTCAATCCAACAACACTCTCCACTGTTTTCGCCAACTGCGATCGTGTTCCTCTGATTCGTCTGCAAGCCGCAGATCTAGTCGGAGATGGCGAAGACGGCTGCGACTGGCAACGTGATGAGGATGCAACATTTGATGGCGTTTCGCGTCGAGATTCGATGCGAGGTGAATGGTTTCTTGACACGGCTCCTGTGGACGGTAATAATATAGGAGGTTCACTGGAACTCCTTATCTTCAAATACGACCTTACTTCGCTCTCTGGAGTTCTACTTCTTGATGGACTCAAAGAATAAAACATTCCACCATCTGGTTCGTGTCTAGAACTATCTTTCTTCAACCGTAAAAGATGTGGCCGCACAGGAAACGTCCCAGTTCGATAGGTCGGACTTGGGGATCTTGATGACACATTCAACTGACGGTCCAGACTTCGGAACTTCGACTCTGTAACAGGTCTCTTCTGTGCTAGGTAGACATTCAGCAATCCAAGAGCGGGTTCTGTCCTCCTGCGTGATTTCCCTGTGACTTGTTCGTGAAATTCCCTGGTCCTCTGCAAGACAGATGAAGATCTGCAGAGACTGCTTGCTGCCGATAGTTTCGGAGGTGGCATGTCTCTTAGAAGAAGATGCTGAAAGAAGGATTCCGTATTTAGGGGACCCACATTGTGATGAGTAACTGAATCCAGTAGCCTGTCACACTGTGTGGCTAACTTTCTGGTAGCAGGTACAGCAGTGAAACCCATCACTGTTTCAATTCTTGGTACTGAAATGGGCATCTCAGTCTTACTGTTTTTCTTATCTTCACTGCTAACTCTGCCTTTGCTATTTGATGATGATGAAGAAGATTTTGTAATAGCACATCTTTTAGAAGCATGGCCCCGCTTTGACTCGCCATTACTGTTAACCTTACTTTTCTTCACTTTCTTCTTAATGTCTTCTTTGCCTTCCTTCTCACGTCCCTTGCCAGAACTTTGAACTGTAGACTTACTGACTGTTTTTGTCATAGGCGTTGTTGATTTTACACTTGGAACATGTGACTTTTCTTTTGTGCGTTTCTTGACATCTGGTAAGGTGCTTTTCCTTACTCTTCTGTTACCTTCATCTGTTGTTAGCTCTATTAGTGAAGGCGTGACAGTTCTTGAAGACCTACTTATTCTCAGTGATTCAGCATTTGCACAGTCCCTATTCGCACTCCTACTGGTTCTCTTCAAAGGACTACTGGGTCTTGAAGGACTTGGAGAAACAGAAGATTTTGTCTTTGATGCTGATGAAGAAGAAGAGAGGGAATGGTGACCTGGTGAGCCCAATTTCATTGTTTGTCTTGGACACAAACTTTCTTTTTGAAATCCTAGATTTGGCAACAGCGAAGGAGATGGTGACTTAGAACAGGGAATGCTAGTAGCTGCGACAGAGGATGTCTTGGAAGTAGTGTTATTTGTTGTTTTAGGCTGGAGTATTTCTTGCCCTTTTGGTGAAATTGCTACTGTCACATGAAGTGACTTTTCCTCAGGATGGCAGTGAAGACCTGCATTTTTTGCAGACGAGTAGAGCATCGTTGAATTACGTATGACAGTCCCAGGAGGCAGTGATCTCACACCCAGTCTCTCCCTTGTATCTTTTTCCTTTTGTTTCCGCAAAATCTTACGAACTTCTCTTGGTGCTGTCAAGTCAGGAGACCTACTAAGTCTCTTAACATGTTCCTGCTGGGTTTTCCTTGATTGTACTTCAGATGAAGTCACGTCTGCTCTTCTGTTCCTGAGAAAACTTTCTTCTGGAACCGACCTACTTCGACCTACGCCACCTGAACTACTTCTGGTTCCTACAGGACTTGAGGAAGTGGTCCTTGTCGTTCTGACTGGATGATCACGCTGACCAACATTTCTGCTGTGCATTCCTAATTTGTGGCTTAAACGATCTCTTAAGAAACTGACGTTAGTGTCTCTGAAGCATGACTCATGCCTGGATCGAGCAGGGCCTGTGTGGGCTTGAGAGGGCTGCCTCATATTTGACCATAGGCGGAGGGTGGAACTGTGGTGCGAGGATAGCCTCTTCGGAGGGGAAGGAGGTGAGGGATCGGAAGGCGGTTTTCTAGGAGTCACATGAATCAAGGATGGAGCAGTGCGCTTGTATGAAGAGAACACAGGAGGAACATTTGTGTATGTTTTAGTAATAGGGTAACACACAATCTCTCGTAGGGGGGTGATATTCTGCTTGTGGACACGAATTCTTGTGAGATGTGGAGAGAGAGGGAAATATTCAATTTCAGAAATGTCTGCAGGGAGAGGATGGGAGAGAGACACAACATGATAGTTATGCAAATGGATAAACCATTTTAGTTACTACTGCACTAGGCTGCGAAGTGATTTGGTGCCAATGCTGAAGTTGTGCTCAATATCTCGACACTATTGGAAATTTTCAAAGAAGATACAGTACATCAAAGCCGGTGCAGTGGTAAATTCTGTGTGTTCTACTCCACTTTCAAGACAGCAGTAGGAAAGAAATGTGTAATTAGGTAATTATGAGTTATTGGCTCCGCAGTAGCTAAATATTTTTAAATATACAATAAATTTAACGCCCCTGTATGCTGCGTTCAATCTACTGAGATTACACTGTTACAACACAACTAATAAATGTCTTTTTGGTGATAAACTTTGAATATTAAAATTTCTTCTTTCATAATCTCGACATATTGACTAATATAAATCAAATGATCACGAACAGCCAATGGGTGTGCAACCTGGATAAATGTAGACATCCTCAGATTAATTCCTTTAGAGGGAAGATGAAGTTGATAACCTCTTTAGTAATCATATTTCAACTGGAGTCCAGCGGAATGCGAGACGACAAAGAAAAGAACGTAATGGACAGCTGACCTCAGAATCCTAATGAACTCTCTGATATTGTTAATAAATGTGCAGGGTCTCTACTACCTTGAAATCTGAAGGCCAAATTCGTACCATCACGAAAATATTACTGCTACAAACAAATCAGACACCAGGGATGTACATTAAAGCTTCAGCATAGAATTTGATTCCTTGGTGCAAATGAAATTAAACCATTGGGTGAAGCGATGACATGGAAGCAACAAACTGACAATAGCACTGAACTCTTAGAAATAAAGCTTTCTGCGGGCAATGACT